GCCATTGATTATAAATTTTACAAAAATACATAGTAGGGCCTATATTGTTGTAAAAACTGGAGCATGTGTTGATGCGAATTTCGAGTTGGTGACGTTAGAGTGCACTGGCGTTGACTCAATGTTGCTCTATCAGGGAAGGGTAGATTCCACAATAATTATCAGTTATCAATCATTGAGATGGGGACGCCACCTAGGTGCGTATTTTAACCCAAATATGAGTGAAGGATGAATGTAGAATGGTGAGTGATGACCTGTGTAGCTTTGTTACTGACTAAGATCAGCGGTTTCATTAGTCAGGATCATTTATTTAAAGCCCAATGATGAGGAACAGCTGGGTCCAGTTTCTATCTGATGCACCTACTGTTTATAGTACCATGAAAGGCCAAGTAATAATCATTATATGGCTAGCTGTATTCAGTTGAATAAGTTTTAAAATTTATTAAATAACAAGAATTTATTTGATATGAAATTCATACGGGAGTATTTTAGGAGAAGTTTTAATTTTACTTTTTAAGAAAATATAGTTTACAAAATGTAGATGCCACTAAATGTTAACAAAAAAATAACATTGGCATTTGTCTCAAAAAGTTTAACTTATTGATGTTTTTGATAAAATTGTAACTATGATTTTAGCAAACCCTACTTTTAGAGTAGACATACATGAATGATAACTCAAGAAAAGAACTTAATCGCCAGCTATCTTATTTTATATCCTGTCTCATGCTTTGATGAGCAATGTCTGAAAATTTGTGGCTTTTTTATCAACATTTATTTATTTTTACTAAGGAAAGAATTTGGCTGCAAATGTAGGAGTACTGACTTTTAGGGCTAACAAATGTATTGGTAGACCAAAGTAGAAAGTAATTTGAACTTATAATTAATCAAGAAAATATCCAATTAAATTATATAAAAATTAAGTAACTATAGTAGGGATTTTTAATTGACATAAAACATGCTAAACCCCAATCAAATACCAGAATCTCAATTTCTTTAGAAGTAGGAGCGCAAAATCTAAAGACTGTCACCAATTATATCGCCGGGAAAAGAAGGTATTGGGTTACACGACAAAATTTAAAGAGAGCGATTTCGAATCTAAATTGATTTTTTTTAAATATTTTTCATATGCTGTCATCAGAGCATGAAATTGAACAACGGGTTTCATTTTCTAGAGGGGATAAAAATGACGTACGAGTAGCACTAATGTTTATGCACAATAAGCTTTGGTTGAAGTGCTTGGACCATGAGTCCATCCCTCTTCAAGCAAGCACTAATGTTTAGCCATCTCAATGTTATTTTATGTCATATTTTATTTAAGATTACAAAGGACTTATTATTTCAGCGAAAAACTGTTATGGTTTGCAATAACCCATGTTTCGTATTATTAAATTATTAAATTATTATTATTAATAAACATTATTAAATGTGACTGTTTAAAATACCTATTAAAATACCCTAAATTATTAATATATAATATCATACTAATATTAAAAATGTTAAAGTTTGTGTGTTTGTTTGTTTGTATGTTTGAGGATCAATCACGCATTAACTACAGGACGGATTGGGCTGAAATTTGGCGTGATGATAGCTCACATTCCCGATTAACATATAGGCCTACTATCTCAAAAATCCGTTCGTGCTCTGCCCTAATGGCACTGTAGTTCCCCATGTTAATCTTATGAGTATTCATATTTAAAAGGAATTAAAGAATTTTGTCAGCTTTTTCAACTGTTTAAGTTAGTTCTATGATTATGTAATAGCATTAAAAAGTTATAAAGCTTACCAACGGGGTGCGGCACTATTATCTTTTTTGGATTTATGATAACAGCTACAGTTGAACCATTGACTCAAAGGTTGAACTAAGCAGCAACAAAAAGCTGTGATATGCAATGAGAACTGTCAAAGTAAGATGGTTTACAGTTATGTTTATGTTTTTAATTTAATGAATAATTTGTGATATTGTGCGAATGTTTGATATTTATTTATTTTCTATGGTTTCGATGTACTGGTGGAACGTGTGGCTATGGTAGATGTGTTATACTATAGCATACAGTAAATTTAAAGAACCAAATTTTCTCAAACCGTGTTCTCTCCCATTGCAAACGCAAAGCACGAGTATAACTGCAATGAGCATTTTATACTTACCCGTACGAAGGACGGATACTCTGCTAGTTGTATTATAATATTGATTTCATTATTAAACCTTATCAACCTAGCAAGGTTAAGGGCCCCCGATACTAACGTATAATTGAACAATTACTTATATCACGCACAATGTTCATGGGGTGAAACCATTATTGCATCAAGAGGGTTTTTCCAACTACTGTACTACTAACGAAGGAATTCCGGTATTAACTTTAAAAGTAGATTTATGTGGGTAGCAGTGAAACAGCATGAATAAATATGCAATAAAAACAAATGCAATCGTTGGGATTATGTCTACATATAGCTAAATAAATTGTTCAATTGTTAGAATCATGCTGTTGTAGTAGGCCTACTAATTAAATATACATCAGCCGGTAAAACTATACTCGTGCCATTGACCAAAGGATTAGATTGAAATAACTGAAACCATGTCAAATAATGTAAAATCTACATTTGATAAACATTCGGTATAGACAGGGATACAAGAAGTTAACTTGATGGAGTATAAGTACTTCACATTTGTATATGAAACTACCTAGTAAACCGTGTACGACAAACTATTAGGTTGGAGTTATTGAATCAATTTAATAGGTTATGACTCTACCGACCGACTTGACCTACGAGTTTATACATATTTAGCTAGTATTTGATCAAAGTAATTAAGTCAAGTAATATACAAAGACAAACCAGAATTTCATAATGAAAGTTCAGGATAAAAATTATACAATCTTTATAGTTAAAATCTAAGGAGGCTATATCTCCTAACAATCCTATTAATTCAGAAATACTATTAAAATTCAACTGGAGGAACCATTTGACTAACAGTTAGAATTTGCAAACTAATTTTAATTAATCAGTTTGCCTTGCACTAATTCAAGCTTTAAGCTGTGTTCAACATAACATTCACGACCGTAACTAAACTTTTTCTTCGCACTCGTCCAATCTCCGAATCTATACATCCACGACTCTCATCACCAACGTGTCTTGGCCAGTTGGATTTTAGCTCTATTTATGATTATTGAGCAAACGTTATTGAAAACGTAAGAAATTACAAAAGATAATACAAGCAATACAATTTAGAGAATATAATTTGAAAACTATTTAATAACGCGTGGTTAACCTACCATTTTTCCTTTTAACACTTTTACTCACTTCAGTAATCGTACACATAAACGTGGAAATGGGACATCTACTTTAAACATGTAATGGCAGAAGTTCTGGAACCTTTTACTTAGGTGTTTACAACTATAATGAGGAGAATCGACATTAGACTTTAAGTAGAGTTCATTATTCCCATCTACGAATATCACGGGTGTCTATGGGCAAAGAACAGTTCAGTATTCGATAATTAGTATTCAGTTTTCAGTAATGGGAACAACTATATCAATTTTCCTATGCTAGAACTGCTACTGTATAACGTAAATTATAAAGATAAGTTACTACGAATTTGTATTGATAAGTTGAATTATTTATGAACAAACTACATAAAATTTGTTTATGATTGAAAAATACATCAAACTTATTACAGTATAAATTGACTGTACGAAATATAAAGTTTTACAAGTGATTGTTTCGCAGGGACGTGTGTTACATCATTACAAACGGATAATGTAGCTCAATAATGCATAATTGATCAATTACTTTTGGATTCTGCCTAAATCGTTCAGCTATATAAATTACTAATGGTGAAATTCAAATAATTTTCAACCTTGGAAAATATCAGAATTTTCAAGATGGCCGCGATCAGTTGCTGAACGCGCAACTCCGTTAATCGATCTCGAAAACCCGAGCATGATTCTCGAAATGAGGTCATGCCAAAGCTACAAAAACCTAAATTCATTGTATTGTATCCATGAAATTTCGACACACGAGAACTTTATACATTCAGTTTTTGCGTTGAATTTCGTTTGAAAATTTAAATGAAAAATCTAAATGGTCCAAACTTGAATTTTCAGCAGCCGCTTTATTTCTTAGTATTCGTCGAATATTAATTTTCTGCTTCGGCAGTAAAAAATGAAATCGTAGAAAGTACCATAATAGTGATGTGATAAACTCCTTCTACATAGCGGTTAAAGGAGTTTACATCCAAATCCAATCGATATTAGTTTGAAAAAAGTGTGAACTCGATATGTCTGATGCTTACCAGAGGTGAATATACAATACAGTACTTATTATGGAACTTGTCTGAGAAGTTTCTTCACCTGCCAAATATACAGTAAAGGCATACTACATATACGTGAAAGTAGTGGTTGGATTAGTTTTATAAGTTAACTTGTACAACGAGTCGACAGTGATACATTATACAATATTCATATTGTCTCCGCTGAACAGTGCGAGTGAGCCGGAACCGGCGTGTTCGCGAGTCCTCTCGGTTACTCCCTTACATTATTACACTCAGCGTAGTGCAATGAACAATTGTATTACGGCTTTATTCGTATTTTTAATGCCTATATGTTTTATAAATTATACATTTTCATTACCGGTATCTACAGTATATTTATTTAGCAGATGGGTTGAGTGACTTGCGCGCCGGGCGGCCCACCCTCGCTATCTCGGTTCTGATCATCTGATCGATACCTCTATCTGCCTCTTGTCTATTGTATACCCATTCTTTTCTTTCTCTGATAGCCCTAATGTAATTGCACTGTCACACTATCTCGTCACTTAGCACTCCATTTGACACATCACCCGTCAATCACGGCCTCAGGCACCTTGTCGAACCTATTAAAAATTAATGGACTCCTCATAATTGAATGGGTATTTTTTTGAAAATTGTAAGAAGATCGGCTAGTTATTTGATCGGCCTAGTAGGTGATTGATTGATTGATTAACTACAGGGGTTGGTAACTGTAACTGACCTTGTCCTCTGGCATGGTGGAGGAGGAGGTGCGGGCACGGCGGGGTAGCGGAAGACGAGGGCCCGGGGGCACTCACAAACACGGGCACGGGACACTACACTGACTCGACACCGTCCATCAAGAAAAGACCCCGGTCGACCGGCCACTGACGACGACGACGACCCTGCTACCTCCTGCAATACCACTTTATTGAAATATCCTACTGGAGGGGTCCGCTGGCTGACGTCACACTGCGTCACCTCCTCTCCTACCCCGCGTCGGCAATGTTCGCTCGTGTTCGGCGCTGCTCGGCTCCTAGTCAATACGCGCCGGCCAGGTCAGGTCGTACCTCTCGCACACACGCGCCGCCACACCACCGCCACCGCCACCGCCACTCAGGCCTAATGCCTATCAGCTAAAGTCTTCCGATACAAGTAACGTCGAAAAGCATTTAAATAAAATATTAACATTTAGATCCAATCAGTCCAAGTATATGTAATTTGATTAAATGAACAGAGTTTATTACTTTAAACAAAACGCAATATAAGAAAGATTTATTGGGTTATTCAATGAACAAGAGGGGTTAATTAATATGTTTTAAGCATACAGATACAAACGCACAAGAAATTTAAAGAATTTGAACTTCTTGGGACCTAACACTGAAAAAAGTGGTATAAGGTTTGGTATAAATGTCGCCTAGAGAAGGAGAAGGAGAAGGAATCTAGAGAGGATTGCTGAACGCGTTCGATAAAATACCTTATGCAATCAATATCGCGATAACATAGAGAGCATATTCGTGTATGAAAACTCAACATTGGCCTTCGCTGGTAAATAAAAAGGATTTTGGCCAAAGTAGATTTTTTTTTACTTTTTGAGCATAATATTAATGAATGTTTACTTTAAGCATTTTCTTGCCAAATAATTAAGTTTCGGCTAACAATTTTGCACTGTATTTTCAATTGGGATCGCTACTAAATGATGTTAAGTTTATAGCGTCTGTTCTTATGTTTTTCAATTGACTGAGGATGGTCGAGATTACAAGGGTATGTTTGATTTATTTCCTCTCAATATTCGATTCATGTGTTCTAGTAAATAAGAAGAAATGTTGTTGAAAACCCCCATAAAATACAATGTTAGGGTAAGGTATTTATTTACGACAGCTTAGTTTTCTTATCAGTACAATTAGTGATACAGTGCAAGCCATAAAAAGTCAAGGATCAGAGTCTTATCTCGTCTCTTATGTTAGGAGACATACACACATTTACTTAATTTAGGCATTACTATAGCAAGTCACGTGTGCATTCAAGATTTTATTGAAAATATTCTAAAAATGATGGTTAGTTTATAAACTTGATAGTGGCTGTAATCTTTAATGAAATTTAAAGTTTCGCTCTAAACCGTAGTAAGCCTAACGTCAACTGTAAGATATTATCATTTACCTGTGTGAGCAAAAATATTACTACCATAAAAATATGAAGTTAGTATGGTTTTGTAATAAATATAAATAAATCAACTAACAACTTCGTCACATTAAAACACATAAATTTAACATTTTTGAATTTAAACACAAACAACTTGCTAGTGCAATTTCGGGCTTTTGCAGTAGAGGCGGTTTATTATTTATATTTAGTATACTTCTCATAGGCCTACGTATTATTTTCAAAAAAATAATTATATAATTACAATTAACCACTAACTGTTTCATAAAGAGGTGTCCAGACATTTTAATACCATTCACAAACAAACTAATTTACCCTCTAATTCACGCATAGGCCTATCTAGAGGTGTGGTCTTGCAAGAAGAGTACAATCAATGAAAATGATGGTTCGTAAAACACGAACAAATGAGTGTAAAGCAAAGGTCGTCGCGAGAAATGTGTCGGTAAAGACGTTTCCCATTTCTATAAGAAATATTTAATGAGTCGTTGCTATTAGCTATTGACTGAACTCGTCAATACCTAACACAGGCGGGTCTTTTCTACAGACACGGAAAGTTAACATTTACTGTTCTTGAGTTCATGACATTTTACATCGATTGAACATGGAGAGTAAAATGATGAAACAAAATGATGGTTGAGAACTTTTATTATCAAGAGACCCTGTGGTGTTGGGATGGCAAAGGGATCACGGGATGGTTTATGTAGATTAAGGTAAAACTCGTACAGGCCGTAGTTACATCACCCTGTTTTACAAACACTTCGGTAGTTTTCCAAGATACACTACACACGTAGCAATGGCAGCGTTTGGCCGACCAATATGGAGACATTCCAAGGATTATCTTGGGCTCTCGACACAATCACGTTTTAAAATAAACTGGCAACACAAGGCACATTACCGTACACCAATCAAGCTGCTAGCTGCCTATGCAGTACTGGCCCTATGTGGCTACAGAATCACAGTTTGTGGCGACATCAGTCCCTAAACACATGTCATTTCAGTTCTAAGTTTGCCGACAGTTAGTTATCTTAATGTGCTGAGGAGATCAATCGGGCACAATAACTCTTGTCACCAAACCACAGAACGACGGACCACTTTCAGTACCAAACTTCTGAGTTCAAAACCAAAGCTGGAAATGTATTAGGGCATAGCTACTGTATCGATTTGGTTTTACTGAAAATACGCTTAGGGAATGTTATTATTAAGGATGGATTGGGTAAGGCTTAGTATTTCGAAAGAAAACAACTATTACGAAGTTTAAATTACAAGGACCAAATCGGAAAATGCCTACACTTTGCACATATACCGATTATGCTTAAAGGCTAAGTTAACAAGGTAGATTAGACAAACACAAAACCAGTAAACGAGGTCCTTGGTATGACAGTGATAACACTTACTACATTGCTACCATTGACTTAACAATACAGACTACAAAAGAGAGAAAGTTATTGCTAACGCGTATTGCATGTAACTTTTGCGGAGATCGTAGAGTAATAATTAACAATACGTGCCTGATCTCAAATAGATTATTATAGGTTCAGGAGACATGAATCCCTGCCTGATATCATAATATACAGTAGAGTTATTATATGCTCATGATGAATGAATTCCTGCCTGATCTCATAATATGTATTAGATTATTATATGCTCATGAGACATGAATCCCTGCCTGATCTCAGATACAGTAGATTATTATATGCTCATGATACATGAATCCCTGCGTGATCTCATATATAGTAGATTATTATATACTCATGAGACATGAATCCTACTTTATATGCTCATGAGACATGAATCCCTACCTGATTTCATATACAGTAGATTATCATATGCTCTTCTTGATATTCCTAATATTTTTCCGATTGTGATCTGCTAAAGTGACATGAGTCCATGCTCGATCAAAAACCGATTGTGTAGCCTACATCACTCCTAGTAAGGGTGATTTACCATTTCTGCATTGTCTCTCAACGGATAGGTATATCTGAGGATGATTTTATGTTTTGTTTGTTTACCTCAGAAACGCCTTACCATCAAACTCTTACACAGAACTTCATAATGTCACAGTTTTGAAATGACACATTTTTAACCAATATTTTGAACATTTGTTCTTCTAAAGGTTTAACCAGAACGTCATATGGGACCTGGATGTTTTCCAACGTCGGCGGCGCTGTCGGTACGTCACGATGATGCGGACGCGTCACACACAACACAACAGCAAACACGATAATAGAACAGGGCGACCTCGCGCCAAGCGCCCGCACCGTCTGGGCAACACCAACACCAACACCGCACGTTACAATAACGTGTCAATGGTCAATGGTAAACACCAAGTTGAATATTGATTGGGATCTGTCAAAACGTGACCCCCTCATGGCGTGGATTAAGTTGCAGCGTTCCTTGAACTGGTGCTCGGCGGAATCTTATTTGAAAAAAAGTTCACATCCACCTCTGCAGTATGGAAGCACTATTAACGTATAGTACTATTCATTCTCAATTAATTGTTGTGCACTAAAGCCAATCTGTAAGAAATGTGACGAATGGTGATATTTTATATACACTACCACTACGCGAATAATAACATTCTATTCCAATGTTGGCTAGTTTACGTGTGCTGCTGTGGACAACTCTTATTCCCGCGATGGTAGGTTTTAAAATGATCGGTTATTTTGTATTGGCCAATGGAAGAAAAAGTGATTTGGCAAGAAATCCACTGTACAGTAATGTGTAAAACCTTTAACCCTACCTGATATCAAGGGTTTGTCTTAAAAGTACTGGTGTGTGGTTCGCATAACTGTTGACATGTTAGACTCAAATTGTCCACAATTTTCGCAGAGATTAATAATTAAGGAGATACAAAATAAATTGATTTCAAATCAAATAGGTTCAACTGCAACTGACCGGGTTATTTCAAAATCTGAATATTTTTTTAATAGCTAACAACTTTAGAAAAAAAATTAAACAACTGCCGAAAATATCAAAGTGTTATGCTTAAAAATAAATAAATCCAATAACCTATGTAAATCCACTCACTACATCTTATTAAAATACCCCCACCAGAGCAAACCTGCCGACTAAGCGAATTTCCATTTGTCCGAATTGATTTTCAATTAAATCTATTTAAATACTTTAGGTTTAACGAGTACCTAGGTTTGCTGCTACAAGGAAACTAATAAAGTGGGTTTTTAGTAAAATATTAATAGCTTAGTATAAAATAAATACATTTTCCAAGTTTGATCAAAATATATTTATAAATAAGCAAACTACAACATTTTACAATATTCTCCAAAAGAATAACATGCGAACTTTAACAATTTTTTGGAATTTTCTCCGTTAAACCGTACAAAAACATTTTGATATACTAAATTATTTGTTTTTTAAGCTCTTTAAAAGGTCTGGAGAGAAATTGGGATATTTTATGTTTTGAAGGTCAAATATGAGAAAAACAAATTTTTACCCCATAAAACCTCCCGTAAAACCCCGTTCCCATGGTCCGATCATGCTGGTTCGCGAACTCATTCAAGTTTATCCCACCTTACACCTTCAAACCAAATTTCATCAAAATCGGGCAAAAATTACTTGGACAAATTATTTATATAGGCTACATATATAAAAATGTACACGAATGGTATTTTCGGCCTCTGAGAACATCAAAATTAAAAAAGCAAATCGGTTCCGGGCCTAGGTCCTACCGTGTCACCTACGTTAATAGCTACTTCCCTAAAGGGAAATTCGCTAAAATGGATAAAAAATTTCCCATTGCATTTTCAAAAATTTTCAGGGTGAATTAAACATTTCCTTA